TATTTTGTGTAGAGATACTTGAAATTTAGGTCGGATAAACGACATTATTACTTAACGATTTTCTGTAGAATTTGATGCATGATGCAAAATTAGAGATTTTTGTTGTAGTGGAATTGTAACATTTTTTTTAATGATTGAAGTTTGAAATGAAGGGTTTGAGTTAAGAGTGTTTTTGCAACCAATTATTATTTTCATGCATATTGTTTACTGTGATACTTGATTTGCTGTTTGATTTTGTTTTCTCTAAAAGTTGTATTATTCACTGTTCATTGTTAGTTGAACGCTGTTAGATCAAACTTGTCTGATTGGGGGAGTGAAAGTGGCGCTCTGACTGTGACCCGATAACTCAATTGTGTTATTCTAGGTACGCGTAGGATTGAAACGAAGGGAGGTGCACTAGAACCTCAATGTGATGACACACGTGCGTTACTGGGAGCTGTTTTTTTAATGAAGGCTGAAGGTCCGAGGCACTTTAAGCCATTTAGAGACCAGTTATGTAACTGCAGCGAGGGTGTTAGTAATGTCGGGACGACATTGGTTTTGTACGATGGGGGTAGTGTGGAGAGTTCGGACCACGACGGCGCCTGACCAGGGATTACGGCCGTCTGACCACCCAGACACGACCGAAGGATCAAGCGCTGGGGCGCCTGACCAGGGATTACGGCCGTCTGACCATACAGACACGACCGAAGGATCAAGCGCTGGGGGCGGTACCGGCCATCCATCTGACCAGGGCATTTACCTGGGACGTCTGGTCTGTTTGTAACCTGGCGCCAATTGAGAAAAAGGGGCGGGGCGAGTCCAGACCTGGGAGAGGAACTATGGGACAGGGAGGTATAAATAGGGATCTCTGGACGGGACAAAAGGGAGAAGGCGGCCGTACTGAGAACTAGATAGCAGGGAGAAGTCAGAGTTGTGAGATGAGTGAAAGTGTAAGCATAGTGACAGCCCAATAAAGAACACGAGTTTAAATGTTATCGCCGGAGTTGTTTCCTTATTGAGTACCAGATCTAGATGAAGATAGCAGAGAGTAAGCAAGGTTTCCTTACAGTATTAAGCAATATAATTATTTTTTATTGGAACATTCAACTAAAAGTTAAAATTTCCTTTTCTGGTCTTCACAGATGAAACATGTCAATTACTTCATCACAATGAACATTCTGCTCCTTACCTCATTCAATAGAAAAACTCACAAGACCAGAGATCATGGACTGTTCCGTGGTAGATTGCAAATAGCTTTTTACAAGTTTCAGTATTGAAAAGTTCCTCTCACATGAAGACACAGATCGTGATGAATAATTGAACGCTTAATGAGAGGATCGGGAGAGATTCTAAGAAGTCTCATTCAGCTATGAATTTCAAAACTGCAAATATTGAAACAGCTTTGACTTTCAGGTGCCCTCACAACCTTGGTATTTCACAGATCACTTTTATAAAATTCATCATAAAAAGTGGTCAGTTTGTTAATGGACACCAGAAAATCTTCTTCAGTAACAAATAGAAAGTCTCAGAGCTTAAACAGCCTAAAAATAAGTGCTTTTTCGTTGATGGCTTTTGTCTGTCTCTTGATTGTTTCCCTGTTAAGTTCTTCAATTCCTCCAGACATCCCTATTAACCTCCTCCGAGTCTGTATATCTGGTAGCACTCTTCTCTCGTGCAATATTGCCCCCAAAATGCACTCTTTTCTGTTTGCAACCCAGTCTGATGGCACCCTCCTGTCTGGTGACACTCTGTTCTGGTGGCAACCTGCTATAGTGCCAACATGATATCGTGGCAACGTGCTCTGGTGGCATCCTGTTCTGGTGGCACCCTGTTCAACTGCCACCCCATCCTTGTAATTAGCTGAAGTCTGTTATGTTATGAGGGTGTCACGCGGGTGCGGTTAATGAGAGATAATGTTTAATTTTGATAATTTATCTCTAACATACAGTTAAATTAAACGAGATATGAATGCACTTCTTCTTCTTCTTCTTTATGTTAAGGGCCCACGATCAATTTATTGATCATTCTGGCTCCTATGCATATAGAGGGGATTTTCCAATGTCTCTTGTACAATCGTAAATCGTTCTCTACAGCATTCAAAAATGGTTGGTACGGCATTTGGTAACTGGTAAGAATAGATGTTTTGACTGGCAGATCTCAAAATGTGTAATTCTTATAATGCGATATTTGAAACATCAAAATTAATTTATTATTAAGAGGTATGATAATAATTAAAAAATTAAAACACATTGTGAGATCATAAGTTAGGACTTCAATTAAATTTATATTAGTTTTTTTTATAGAAGTCACGAAGGTCATACTGTGTAAAAAATCTGACCAATCCGTCATCTTCTGCTATGTGGTTCCCAAATTTTCAAGATGTTTACATTTTAACTTTCTAACTTGATTAACACCCCCTCCGCCCCCATACACACACAAAACCCACCTTTAGGGCTTAGATAAAACTGAAAATCCATGGAAGATTAGCCACAAGACGTAAAAAGGTTTGTACTTAAGATTTGCTTAAGATTTGCTATATCTGTAGTTAAAATAAGATAATGGCAATGGATGGGTTTTCCTCGAGTGTACATTTTCATAATTCATAATCAGTATTTAAATTATTCATTCATTTGTCATACTACGACTACATTCTACATCGTTACTCAACATAGTGAATGAGAATGAAACGTCTGACTGATAACTGTATTGATTACTGATAATATTACTTTACACAAACGTATATTTACACATTGCGATAGCCGATAGCCCATTATTGTCAAGTCAAAATAGTTTCATAAATAAATTTTCAATTTTGAGAGAATTACTTTAACTTTAATAACTGTTTATTTGTTTATTCATTATTATTTAAACAATTTGTTTGAATCAATTTAATTGCTATTTATTTTTATTTCTCCTACCTTTTTAACTACTGATAACTGTAATGACATATGTTACTATGTAAAACATCATGCAAGTAAATTATTAAGTAAGAAATCTATTACATGAAAATTATGGAAATTATAGGTAACTCAAAGCCAATTGTCTACCAGCCAGAGGTGTCATGTGAATTTTGTAGGCTCCACTTTTTGGTTATTGCAATTTAGCTATTCAAGGATATTTTAAACAATTATTTATAATTTTTTGTCACATCACATATATATTCTCAACTTTGGGCCCATACATATCCAAGGCCCTCTTCAGCTGCTACAACCATGCTGGTTCATTTCATCATCATGTTGGCATTTTCATGTCATATCACATCCATGAAACATGATGTATTTTAATAAAAACTGAATTTTAAATATAAAAAAAGCCTTTGACATTTTTTCCTGGTATGGTAATTCAAATTTTACTGTTATAATTATGATTTTTTAATATAAAGATTTAGTGAATTATCATGTGGCCTTTCAAAAGTTATTAATAGGCTTATTTGTAGACGTTTAACCAAGATGGCTAACTCAGTAAATGTATCTAAGTTTTACATCCCTTGCTTTAAACTAGTTATAACTAAGCAAACTGATTTAGAGCAATACCTGATAAGGAGATACCAAAGAATTAAAAAAAGAATTCTGTGTGAATTTTGCATATGGTGCCACATTAAGGGAATGTAAATTATTTTTGTTGTTTACCTTTAAACATCTAGCATTATTGATCGAATAGGCTATTATAAATAAGGTGTGTTAACATAATTGATAAATGTTTTATGTAAAACTAATTAAAAGAGCTTTTTTTAAAAAAAATGCTTAATAAAGCTTTCTCACTTTGTTACAAGTTATTTAAATTGCATATTTAACTGTTTGCTAAACACTATTTTTCAAATTAGAAATTTTTTATTTATGCAATCAGTTCCTTTTCATTATTGTTACAAAGCAGCTTTGTCTTATATATTTCTAATTACAGCTATGTTGTAGCTAAAAGCAATTAAAATCACTGGCATTGTAGGCTGTCAGGTGCTTTTGCCCTCCTAGTCACAACCTGTGAAATCTGATCTTGTTGTTAGCAGCCCAAATACAAGGAGGTCAAACCATAATGAACCAAGGCATTCCTGGTGGTGGACCTAAGGCTACACTTGTCAGCATTGAGGGGGTCACAGATCAGATTACAGAGGAGAGTGAAGACAAAAGCAATAAAAAATCTTTTCTGGGGATTGGGGTACATATACAAGAACAGAGCCTGGGTGTAAAAATGGAGACATTGAAGGTGACCAGTGATCAGCTTCATTTGTTACAACCTGACACTGGCTGGGACAACACGTGTGAAACTGTTGTAATGGAGAAGTTGTTTGAAGTTTGTGACCATCATAATAAAGGAATGGTCAGGGTCTCTGATCTGGTGGATTACCTGAGAACTATTTTGGATTTCAATTTACAGGTAAAAAAAAATATACTTCTGTTAAAGTTTCTTTTCATTTTTATGCCTTTACAACATACAGTAAATAATTAAATAAAACTTTTTTTTATATATCAGCAGAAAAAGAAGATTATTACCATAGTTCGATTAGTTCTACTTAGTTTTGTCTCAAGTAAGAAGATTTATCATTTATGTCATTCATACAATTTTAATACAGGAGGATGCTGCTGTGGGCAGCCTGATAGAAATTCTTGACCCTGAAAACATAAACGCAAAAATAGGCATAGAAGCTTTTGAATCTGGTCTACACAAGTGGATTGAGAAAATGAAATGTATTCACTCTCAGTAAGGCTTAACTCATTTTTTAGGCAAGATAGGACACAAAATATATGTGTTCGTTTAATAATGTAGTTAGCTGAATCACTTTTTTTAACTTCCAAAATTCAAATCTGAAATTAAATACAATGCTATAAAAATGATTGAAATTGCTTGAGTTGTAGAAACAGTGCTGCATACGAATTTCCTTCATTCTTTTTGAGTGCCACCTCTTTGATTAAATCACTTTTTGTCATTATTTCTATTAAAAAATTTGGACAAATAAAATAAAAATTGCTAAGAAAAAAAACATTAAGCCATAATAACTTTGTTAATTTTATCATCAGAGATCCCAAGGATGTTACCTGTCAAGAGGATTCTGTTTTGTCCTGTAAGATAGTTTTTAAAACTATTATAATAATTGCCTTACCATAACGGTACACATCTCAAATATATTATAAGACACTAAATTTGTACAAGACTGAAAATCAGGTTTTGATTGTTTAGCTTTTAATATTGTTTCTTTTCCCATATATTTAAATTGACTTTATATTTCAGTTAGTTTTAGTGCACAAGAAAACTTGAGTCTGAATTATTCACTAGAGGAAAATGTTATGGAGGACAGGTGAGGTTATTGTTCACTTTGAACAATTAAGTTCATTATCATTGTGAATGGGGTATTTAGTTATTTGGGAAAATCTAATTTAAAAAAATATTGATAATTGAAGGGTTATACTATACAGTTATTTCCAAAGCGTATTTCATGAAGTTAGAGCAGATATTTGAAATACAAAGTATTTATATTATTGTTGTTTTAAGATTTCAGAATATTTTCATGAATTTATTTTTGTTCCAACTTATTAGTAGGCCTATACATTCTAAGAGATTTTAAATTAACTTTTGACAATATGCCAAAGTTAGACTTCACTTTCCAAAAAAACCATTTTGCTTAAAAAATCTTGAAACCATGAAATCTTAAAATTAAGTTATGAAGGAAATCTAATTTTATTTAACTGTTAATATAGCTGTAGAAAGCAACTGTGTTACTTGCCTTCTCAATAATCTTCCAAACTTGAGCTGTTTGCATCAAGAAAGCTATGCTAATTTTTCATTTAGTTATTACAACTGGATTTGAAATTCATGCAAACTTGATGTTTTAAAAAAAAATCTCCTTAATATCCAGGCTGTCTGTGAGTGAATTGTCAAGTCAATTGGCTGATTCTCAATACCAAAATCGTAGGCTTTCAGAAGAAAACGATGAAGTCAGGGCTTTAATTGACACTAAAGAGGAAGAGCTGGACAAGTTGTCTTGTGAATTACAGGATGTAAAGGCAAGAATGAAAAGGTGAATTTCTTTAAGTGAAATAAATACCAAACCTCTTCATACTTGACATTAGAGTAACATTTTTCAGCATAACTATGTAAAGGCGAGAAGGAAGATAAAAATTCATGTCCTCATCAGTATAAGAAAAGACATACGATTGTGAAGGATATTGAGCATTTTGTTGTATAGTATAATAAAGAATAAAATTCAAGGTTGAATCAGAATGATTGTTAAATCAGTAAATCTTTAAAAAAAAAATTAAACCAGGAAAAAAAGTACATCCATTTTTTAAATGAAAACTTATTAAAGAGAGATAACCCAACAAAATCAGCTCAGATTCAGAAAAACAAATTGTGCAGACAAGTCTTACTAGGGTGAGGTTTTAATTTTGTGGTACCAATTAATCCCCATTGTTATTATTCATCTGTTCAGACTGCAAGAGCTGGCAGATGAGCAACATGAGACCCAGTATGAGAATGAAGACTTAAGACTACAGATTGTCAGCACTTGCAAAGATTTTGATTTAATTAAGCACAAGCTGTACCAGTCAGAGCAGGAGAAGATACTCCTACAAAACCAAGTGGAGGATGGCAGAACACTGGTGAGATGAAATCATAAACATTATTTTATAAGTGACATTGTGTTGTCAGGTCAGTGCACTAAAAAAAAAGCAGGTTGTACGAGACATCCTTATTAATGACTAGGCAGACTGGGATAACCCCAAAAGGGCAACAACAGAGCTAAGCTCTAACATGCAGGAGATTCAGGGTACAGTGCTAGCAGAAGAGGTATGGATGAAGTTCAAGACAACAATTACTGATGCAGTGAAAAACTACATACCACACAAGACCACCAAATCTAAGACAAATCAGCCATTGGGTCATAGCTGAAATCTGTAGGATCATCCACAGGAGAGACCGAAAGCGCAGGCGGATATACTCAGTCAGCAGTTTCACTCGATCTGTGATGATGAAAAAGTAGAAAAGGTATCCTTCTTTTATTATTTTTGGTGATGGTAGAGAGCACTCAGAGGTAGAGTTTCTTCTGAAGACCAACATGATGAGCAGAGCCTACCTCATCATGGAAGATTTCCAGATTTTAGGGCAGGGTGTGCTGGCCCTCCTTAAAACCATTAACCCTTACAAGGCATGTGGTCCTGACAACATCAAACCACTAGTGCTCAAAGAATTAGCCAATGAAATCACTTCTGCACTGACAATCCTCTCCCAATAGTTGCTGTGCATAGGCAATGTTCCAACAGACTGGAGAGCTGTGCATGTCACTCCAATCTACAAGAAAGGGGAGCATTAGGACCCTGCCAACTAATGACAGGTATCCCTCACCAGTGTGGTATGCAAACTGCTGGAGCACATAATTGTGAGCCCAGTCATGAAGCATTTTGAAAGCCACAATGACTGTCAGCATGGCTTCCTAGTCAAAAGATCTTTTGAGATCCTGTTCCTAGAATTTGTAGAAGACTTGACAACTAATCTGGAAAACAGCAAGCAAACTGACGTACCGGTGATGGACTTCTCAAAGGCGTTTGACCAGTGTTAATCATAATTTGCTATTACACAAACTTCAGAGGTATGGGATCCAAGGCGCTACCAAAACATAGATCTCTAGCTTCCTTAGCAACCGATACCAGGCAGTAGTGGTAGATGGCATAAGCTCCTCCTTTGTCAGTGTTAAGTCAGGGGTCTCCCAGGGCTTTCTTCTAGGCCCCTGTTTGTTCCTAGCATACATCAATGACCGGTTTCGAGCATGGAGACGGAAAGCCATGGATCGCTCCGAATGGATGGATGTGGTGGAGCAGGCCAGGGCCCTACATGGGCTGTAGTGCCATTGATGATGATGATGATACATCAATGACCTGACTGAGAAGATGGCCTCCCAAGCAAGACTGTTTGCAGTTGACACGACGGTGTACAGGACGATCACCAACAGTAATGATTAGGACCAGCTACAACAGGACCTCCATCAGTTAGCTGAGTGGGAGATGAGATGTGACATGGAATTTCATCCTGCCAAGTGCCAGACACTGTCAGTCTCTAGAAGTGGTACTCCTCTACATCACACTTACGAACTACATGGCCATTTGCATGAGCCAGTTTCCTCAGTAAGGTACCTCTGTGTTACCATTCAAAGAGAGCTCAGCAGGGATGAGCTCATAAACAATGTGTGCAACTGGCAAACAAGACCCTAGGGCTGCTAAGGCGAAATCTAAGGATCTGAAGCTCCAGCATAAATGAAAAAGCGTATAAAGCCTTTGTCAGGCCACGTTTAGATAATGCATCAAGAGTCTGGTACCCATTCACCAAGAATGGCATTGACATTTTGGAGGAGGTCCAGGCTTGAGCATCATACTTTGTCCTGAAATGCTACAGGAATACCTCATACCTCAAGTGTTGGTAGCAGGCTGGAAATGCTGGGCTGGTCACCATTGGAAGTATAGTGACGAATATCCAGGCTCTCCTTTATGTTCAAGATAAAAAATTGAGTGGTCCACTGCTCCAGCATTAAACAGAAACGTGTCCCTCTCCAAATTAGACAACAACGAGGCCCTGACAGGCAGAAGATAACAGCAAGAACACAGTACAGGAACTGCTCATTCCTGCAAAAGACAATGAGGGACTGGAACAAGCTTCCAAGGGGAGCAGTTGAGCAACAGCATTTAACACATTTGAATCTATTGCCTCCTTCCTTCCAAACCCTAGTTCCTGATACCTTCCCTGAGTAGGCCATGCAACCAGTGAAGTATCATCTTCAAAACCAAGCACAGAAACATTGCCAACGCCCTCTACATAAATAGGAGCCAGCATGATCAATACATTGATTTGGCTTCAAAATATGGAAGAAGAAGAAGATAAGAGACAGAATATTTTAAAGTACATTATATTATAAATGACATTGTTAAATAACATTACATGGTTTTTGTAAATTTAATATGCTTAAAGATTTGTCTTGTTAGATGAACAATATGTAACAAAGGACTGAAAACCAGTATACAAAGAAAAACGATACCAAAGCTATTGATATTAACAATATTCAATTTCTTTAGACTATAAAATTTATATAAAGAATACAAAATAAAAGAGTTAGAAATAAAAACTTTATTAACTCACAGCACATCAAGTGAAAAAGAGCAATCCCCAAAAGATATAAGTTTACCCAGACACACAAAGAGTACAATCTTGTAAGAATCCTTTATTAAGTCTCCTTAACATCTAGGAAAATTAGCAAAAATCTCTCTCTGCTGGAACAACTGCCACCTTATTTATATGGAGAAAGTTGGAACCCTTCAATCAAGGGAGACGTGAGTAAAGAGGGTTGAAGATACACATTTAATCAGTGAAGTCAATATCAACAACAAAAATGTGAAGGGGGGGTAAGGTTGAATGCCACAGCTTGTGTTGAATAAAAACTAGGTCAACATACAGGCTATAACAACACTATATTATAAGTGACACCATATTATAAGTGACATATTATAGTGAAATTATATTATAAGAGGAATTATATTATGTGACATTAAATGGCATCATATTATAAGTGATATTATCATATAAATGGCATCATATTATAAGTGGCAAAAGACTTGATATAATTTTTGTTTTGTTAACAGTTCCAGCTGGTGTTGACTGTTTCATCACCAATCCAGCACACCCCTCTTAACGTTTTGAACTAATATTCTGTTCTTAAAATTTCAATTCCATTAATAAAATCACTTACCTATAAATTTCTTTCCCTAAATACCTTTATAAAGGGATCGTTTATTTCAGTGGAGTACTGTTTACACTGGTGGACTGCAGGAGCAGAATGATTTATAAGTAACTGCCTCCACGCTTTTAAACAATTTATTTGCAATCAATTTTCATTTTAATTAATGTATCAAGGACTTCATTTGAATTGTTATTCCAGACACATAAATTAGTTTGTCTATAATTATCTGTCGTGTTTAGCATAGAAGAGAACCCAATATTAATAGGATTTGAAGTTGGTTTGGTCTGTTTTGATATTTTGTGGTTTGTAAGGATCATAAAGTATTTGACTGAATTGTAAGGTTGGTCTATTATAACAACCTGTTCAGTATTGTGTGATATGGAAGGACCATTTATGGATTAAATAAAACGTACTTCTGGAGTTTTCTGAAATAGTCTCAAGCTCTTGATAAAAGTTGGCTGTTTGAAGTTTAGAGTTAATTGAATTCTGTATCCACCACCTTGGTGTTCAACATTATGTCAAACCTAAGGCAAAAGTAATATTTATTAATTTTTTGCATGACTCTTGAAATTAACTGGAGGCACCACATATAAAAAAGGGAAATATATTAATTTTACATGAAAATGAATAGTTTCCCTAGAGTCCATGAAATGGCAAAGACAATAATAGGAGACACAGGAAAATATTATTAGTTTCCCTAGACTGTTATCCCCCCCCCCCAATCCCCCCATTCCGTTTTATCCCTATTCCACACAAGTTTGAACACAACCTATGTCCGCCCTTGTTCTTACGGTAACACCTGTTACCATGTTGGTCAAATGGGCGTAAAGTAACAGTGAAACTGTGTAATCGTCCTTGTATTGCTGTAACAGCAGACAGTCATGACACTGAAGGCGACAAGTGGCTTCATAACGAGAGTTAACTGAATTAACGGATCAGAATATAAAAAAAAGATCAAAAGCAGGGACCTGATTGGTGGGTGACATGACCATGGCTATTGTGGAAGTATGGGAATCCGTTAAATAATTGTGTCAACAAACTGGTGCGATCAGTAGTGTGACTAGGTTTGGTGCAGCTCGAGGCGGGCCAAGCTTTTGCCCGCACACCACCACTGGACCCCCTTCATATTCAACTGGTTGGGATGGAACTTAATTATTGTCTCCATCCAATAATTTCAAGTTCCAACTTAGTTCCAAGTTCCCCACTCCACGACTTGTCACTTGTATTGTGTGCTAATGTGCCATATCGGCTCAGTCAGCTAACTACCAGAAAACCCAGTTACTTAAGTTGGCCTTGATCCCATATGATGGCCCAGGATTGGGCTTGCTCGACTCTTGCTGGTCTCACACTACTTTATTCTTAATGTAACTTAAGTGAAATCTTTTGAGAGTACCGTAGTTATTGTTTGCTTTAGGTTGAAATCCAAGGCGTTGTTTTAAACGGCGTGTGTTGGAGCTCGTTTAACTGTGCTGATCGTGTGAGCGCCTGAGTTCTTTAGCTCTAACATAGATCGACATGTCACTGCAGACACATTTCTTAAGATCGCTTTGTTAATTTAACTTTCATGACCTCAGAAAGGGCGCACGCAAACATCGCCAATGGAGTAGAATGTAAATTCCATTCCACACACTGTGAGATCAGGGAGGTTGACCTCGCCCCTAAAAAGATTGGAGGCGGGAAGGGGGGGGGGATCCCTAAGATACCAATTAAGGCTAATACTTTTTTACCAATAAACAAATTTACTTTATGGGACATAAATAAAATACACCATCCAATCTTTAGTTAGATTTGATTAAAATAATTGATTTAAAATTAACAATAAAATTACGTAACATGCATATCGTTACTAAATTATGTGTATCAAATAGTTTCCCCCTCCTTCAAATTCCAAACAAGGATCTACCCATGTCAATGTTTCCACACTACTAAGCTACTTTTACCCGATCCAAAAAAACAAAAAACAAAACAACAAACGATGCTTCCAAAATATGATCATGTAAAAATACCAACAATGTCTTAGGACCGTCCCTTGATCGTGGCATTGATTAACCGGTAACATCGCGTCAATTTAATGGATTCTCCGTATTTAATACATTTTGAGAACTGTTGCCAGTGCACCCTAAGCATAAAGCAATCACGCAGAGAGGCTTTCGCGTATTATACTTATTGACACCCCACTCCCCTTGTTGATTAGGTGCTGGAGGCCCAATCATTCTGTTTCCTATAGCCAAGATATTATAGACGATTGGCCACAGCTAATCTGTGTATTGTTGGTGTTTGGTTTCCTGGTATGGTGCTTAAATTATTGGTCCTGCGAATAAATGTCACGGCTGCTAACTTACAGGCTATTAATGAGCAGTCATTGTTAAGTGTGATTTGATATTATAGTAAGGGTGTAAATGTAACGTCTGATATTAGATGCCTGAAGTAGACATATTTTTAATTTAAAGTGTTTATTTATGAAGGACACTGGGCATTATAGCCATTTAAAATGTAACCATTTAAAATATGGCCATTCATTGAAAATGCCTTTAAAAAAAAAAAAATGGATTTTAGATTTACCTCGAAGACGTTGTCTTAAACTGTACTGAGCTGAACACGTTTGGCAAGAAATTCTGAAAAAAGCTTCGTAACAATAGATCAATTATGTTCTTAGGTGTTTTTCACAAATAAATGGAGATTAAATCATTTAATTATTTGACCCTTGAAAAACTAACAACATATCTGTAAAGAGATGGCAATACACTGAACTTTTGTGTGTAAATGGTTTAAGAGACTTGACAACGCTGTTATTAAGACATCAAGAGAATTGCTTTATGGCATTACAAAACGTTGATATCATACAGGTTACAAGACAGAGCTCAGAACTGGAGGAGTCACGCAGACATCAAGATGAGTTAAAGGCCAGTTTGGCTAAAACTAAAGTGAGTTCTGTGGATGCCTGTAGACTCTATTGCTATAATTACAACTAGTCAGGTATCTATTAAAGTAGATGCAATGTAATGCTGGCCAAGCACACTCAATTTTGTCTATCGTTCTTTTATTGGTTTTCTTTGGTTATTTATTTGATTAAATCCATGATCAACCATTTGTTCATGTTAACTACGTACTGTAACAATTGAACCACACTGCTATAGGTTTAAAAGATGAAGAAGCTAGCCACACAAAACAAGCAGTGGAGTAGCCAGCTAGCTGCATAATGACGTGTTATTTAATGTATGAAACTTTGCTGTAACACCTGTTACATTTATGTTACATACAGGACAAAAATCTACACCTAAAAGAGACAATTGAAAACCTGGATATTCTACTCTCAGAGGTTAGTTAAGTTTGGTTACTATTATATACAACTTTTGATATAACCGATAGGCTATTTAAAAATTATTCCTCTCCCAAAATCTCTGTCAACGCAATCTATATGGAACATTTTATTAGCACCATCAACTGTATGAGAAATTCTCCTTCAAACCATCTCTATCACGCTATCACGGATATTAGCTATTAATTTAACTTACTAGCAAAACATGCTTTATCTAATTACTCTATTAACCATTTTTTTTACCAAACCTTCTTTCTATCAAATCTTTTCTATATCAAATCACGTTTCTATCAAATCTACTTTTCACCAAACTCCTCTCTATCATACATTCTTTACAACCTCAGTAAAAATTGTATTCATCAATTTTATTATATAAAATGCAGTTTTTCATTTAGGCCTACTTCAGTTTGAGAAAACAGTCTAATGTAGCTTTAATGGCCTTACACATATTAAAGTAGTTATTGATTGGCCCAACTTAAGCCTACAGGCAAAGAATTCTGTATATTTTCAATGTTCCCTTTTGACTTCTTTTTTTTTTACCTGTGACAAAATCTGTGCTTCATTTACCGTGTAACAAGCCATAGCTTGATTAATGGAATGTGTGCCATGTGGTAGCTCCAAGCTGATGGTAATTTGTTATGTCATGTACAGTTTTAAAATTGTTAGTAATTCTCCCTTCCAGCGGGGACTGTGTTACATCAATGAATAATATCTGCTATGAGTACTATCAAGGCAGGGCGGATTCATGAAAACTTTGTAAACCTTTAAATTTTATTCACTGGAGCAGGTAGTTGATATGGCTGGAGGGGAGGGAACTAATGAGATAAGCAGTGTAGGTTAATCATAGATAGTTTCACGTTGTCAAAGTAGAATATATTTATTTAAAAGCACTTCAAGTCCTCAATACACTAATGTTAAAGTGATCATCAATTAACTTTAACTGATCATGCACGGCATGGCTGAAATAACTAAGGTTAATGTCACATGTTTGAATTCCATGTTTCTATCCAGTCATTTTGAACCCATCTTTGAAGCAAACAAATCTTCAACGTATTCATTAAAAAAATATGTTTCAATATTCCTGTTGAATATTTCAGAAAGCTGAAAGTTTACAGACACTACAAAGTAATCTTGGAGATATTACTCAACACAATAAGGTACCGATGTCTTTTAAATATTACATCTTTTGAATATTTTATACTGATATTTGCGGTTCTGTAGTGCTATGATTTTTTTAAAATTTTGGGTTGCATAACAGTTGGCCCTAAAGGAAAAAACTGTTGAAATTGGAGAATAAATTCTTAATTTCTCATGGAATCAAAAATAAAAGAACACTAACAAATCCCCTCCTGGCTCCCAAAAAACACCCCACTACCCTTTTTTCTTGAAAATTATTTTTTTGAGTAGGATTAAGAAATTTGACAAAGGGAAGGGTTCATTTCAAAGCTATCTCCAAATCTTTGTGACATAGGCTGTGTGATTAGAGAGAAGAGTAAAATCATCTGCTAGAAAAATCATGGAATTCTAATCATCTTTATAATACAGCTTTATAGTGTATAGATGTGGGATAAATTTGATACATAGATATAATTAAACATTCAAACAATTTTCTCTGGTAAAGGAATTGAGGAGTCAATACCAAGAACTACAAGGTGAATTAATACAAACTCAGGCAGAACTTTCAAGGTCAGTGAATTGATCTCACCAAATAAAATGTCTTTGTATGCAGTGGTATATTTTAATCTGAGGTGTCACTAACTAAAATGTCACATCTTTGTGAATCCATTAAAAGATGTTTTATCATTATATAATCTGAGGTGCTCAGATGTCACCATCTAAAATATAGATATTTGTGAATCTTTTGTAGGCTACTCAACTCATTCATTTTATGAGGTGAATGTGGTTGGTTGGGGGGGGGGGAATCAGGACACAGGTCTTTTAAAACTCTTTGTGAAATACATGACCTATGTAATGAAAGAATGAATGAATCTACTTATTACTAGAACACATTAATGATGGAGATGGAAAGATGTATGAAAGATTTTATTCTTTTTTTTCCAAGCCACAAATTTTGCCCATTCCATCACGTATCCCCACCCTTAGATTTTTAAATTAAAAAAAAAAATCTCCATTCCTGTCATGTTGAATGTTATGTCACCTACTCTGCACCCAACAGTTTAAAGTCAGCTCATGAAACAAACAATGGCATTTTGCTCCCCTCCTTGAAAGAACTGGCTGATGAAATTGAAGAGGATTCTGAGCACTCAGAGATCAGCAGTGTCTGTGAATGGCCATCGTCAATACGCAATGAGCTCAGAGAATTGGTAATAAGTCAAGGAGAAGAAAAGTGATTGACTTGACTAATGTATCCTATATATTTTATATCTCTTGATTTTAAAATCAATAAATTTTATTATCTTAGTATGTTCTGTAATTAGCAATAAGGATAACATGATTTGATTTTTATCTTAAGAAATTCTAATTCAAGTTGAACAATCCAGAATTTATTATTTATGGTCTTTGCCATGGAATAATTTAGAAAGGATAATATAAAATAAAACATATATTGTATTTAGAAATGGATTATGTTTTCTACTTTGATAAGGGTAGCAATGGAATTAACTACAATGAAAATAGAGAGAGACAGGGGACGTTTTCCTAAAAATTTAAATGATGCCAGAAACAAAAACTATTTCTTTGTTGATTTTGCTGTTGCTATCAAACTTGTTTAAAAAACACAATCGTTGTAGTTCTCAGACAGTCCAAATCTGCCCTGGCCTCTTAGTGATAAAGAACTAAGAGAAAGTGTGGTGACCACTCCAGATCTGGTCAATCAGACATTGACATCTGCCAACACTGACCCTCACAAAGTGAGTACATGTTTCTATAGTTAGTTGTCAGTGCATTGCCGGATCCTTATTTATTGTATATAGAACTATACGAAATTAAGTCCTGGTGAGATACCTTACAAGAAGATTTATATTTAACTGTTGATACCATGAAATATTTGTACAGAGCCATTTCCTTCTTATGGTTTCCATTTGTTTGTAAATAATTTTTAACTGTTTGGTCTGTTGAAAACACAATAACTTTTGTTTAAAACATTTATTGAACTTTATTAATAAATACATTAAGTTGGGTTTAAATCACTTGTATTCTTTGCCTTGTTGAAATTGAATGAGTTTATTAGTTGGCATGAGGCTATTCTTTCAGCTGTGCTTATTTTGATCCATTATTTGTGGTATAACAACATTGTTCTCTTGCAGACTGTCTGTCAAAGGGAAGGTACCAATTCATGGTGTGTAGATGAGGATAAGAAGAGAGAAAACACTGTTTTAAACAAGTGCATGAATTGTGATACTCATTACGACATTACCAATGAACAGTAAGAAATATGTAATACTATATCAATAGTGTACAGTGAAGATTTATTGAAAACCTTTTAATGTCACATTTATTTTTCTTTGAGGCTTACTCTTACATGTTTTAGATTAAGCAAACGAAACAAAACATATCCTTTGCATGAGGATGCTTTGATATATAATTTTATTTCAATATAGATAAAAGTAGTTTGCCTAAATGTTTCAATGTTATTACAACATAATCATGTTTTTACTGATCTCTAGGCTGAGGAACTTGGTTTTACTCTTGAGGAATTTTAAGGGTAAGCATCTGGATGGATAGAACTTGTTATTACATGACTTTTCAAGCCTTGGTAATGTCTAATGGTATTACTTAGTTTCTGTTGTCTGCTTAATCTTTTTCTCCATGTATAACACAGTGATGTACAAGGTAGTGTTTAACTTGGTGAGGTATAATTTGTATTAAAAGTTCATTGCTATTTATTTTCCATTAACGTTTCAAACCATGTCATCTTTGTTCCAGGTTTTTTTCAATTTGATTTCATGGACTGGTCAAATTTGTTGTTTGAACAATGTTCAGTTAAACTTAGAAAATAGCTACCGTATTTATCGCCGTATAACACAAACTTTTTCTCCCCGAAAATAAGGAGCAAATGATGTGTGCGTGTTATACGCCGATATAATTTTAAGGACCAATAGTACATACCGCATAGAGGCCCGATAGGTGCGTGTTATACTGTGCATGTTATACGCCGATGAATACCTTATTTAAATTAAAATAATTTAATAAGCTAAACCAGGCCTATCAAATGTCAAGTTATCTCAAAGGCTGCATGAGGCTCATTCAATTGCCCAATTGACCACAACACAAATACCTCATTATTAAGCATATGTTACATAAATTGCTAGGTGGTTAATATGGAGGAAACTCGTTTCATACCCTGTGCAAAACCATGGCTTCCAAGTTAGAGGGTTACCGTAATGGCTAAATCCCTATAATTGTAGTGGACATAGAGTCGGGAGGTTTATTTCTAGCTCTGCAGACCAGTTCCCCTTCAGGGTATTTCATGGCATTCTCATGATATATCTATATGACATGCTGCTCCATTTTATTTTTTTGTCTGTTAGAAGAAAACCTCAAACTGAAACATGTGGTGAAACAGACTTTGAAGAAAACACAACTCAGCCTGTACGACAGAAGTGATGAAAAACAGAGAGATCTTACCAGAGAACCCACAGATGAGGGAGTGCAGAAAGAGGTATGCATTGTGTTATGATAAATTTTGTACCACACATGATGGGGTGCAGGAAGAGGTATGCATTGTAATATGTTAACTGTTGTACCAAACATTATGGCTTGCAGGAAGAGGTATGGATTGTGTTATGATAAATTTTGTACCACACATGTTGGGGTGCAGGAAGAGGTATGCATTATAATATGTTAACTGTTGTACCAAACATTATGGCTTGCAGGAAGAGGTATGCATTGTGTTGTGACATGTTTGTAGGCCTTATTTGGTGTTGTGGCCACCACCACTTGTCTCCCCTTTGTCTTGTATTCATATTGGCTATTGGCATCACATATTAAATTTGCTGTGCTACTCCTTTTACTCACCCCTTCTTTGATTGGAAAAAGGTTGCTTACGTTCTATTTGTTATAAAAAATGCTATCAGGGTATGCAATGTCTAGAGTTTCTTTTTTGAATTGTTCTGATTTAATCCCTAAATATAAGCTGGCAGCTTTCCTGGCAGAGAGAGAGATCTTTGCGAATTTTCATAGACATTTACAAGACTTAATAGACATGTACGATTGTACTTTTTATATGTGTGTATAAACTAATATTTGTATTTTTGGACAATTGTACCTTTACACTCGCTGTGCTGTAGGTTAATATAGTTTTTTTGCTTCTGTATATTTGAATTTGTATTTTAATATAAATATAATAGTATAATTAAATTTAATATTGTTAGTATCAATAGCTTATGTATCTTTTTTTTGCATACTGATTTTTCAGTCCTTTCCATTGTTCATTCTATGACCCAAATTTTAAAACAGATTAAATTTTTAAAACCATATAATGGTACGTAACACTTGTGATATGTTTATTGTTGTACCACACATAATAGATAGATGGTGTACAGAAAGAGGTATGCATTGAGATGTGACATATTTAGTTTTATCACACAAGGTGGTGTGTAGAAAATAGGGCTGAGTGGAAACGCTGAATATTAGCACACCTTTTTTTACATAATTTTTTGTATACTTTACCTAAATTGAAAAATTATAGAAAACTGACTAGCGATTGATACAAAACCAAATGTGAGGTAAATGTAACTTCAAAGATCTGAAAATAATGCTATCAAAGTTTGTTGACGTGTGAATTAAGTTATATCACAGACTTAAATGATAGTTATATGATTTACGCAATTGAAGCTTAACTGAAAGGGCTGCGCATAACCACTTGGCTGAAAGAAGGCTTGGATGGTATCACCATGATGATGATAGAAAGATTTATTAAAATAATCTGAGTACATTGGTATCAGAAAAAAAGAAAACTGCTACTCACCAGTGACCAGTAGCCCTTCCACATATGCGAAGCTCCGATCCATTATGGATTAGGGTTATGTTTATGGTTAGGGCAGTGGTTCGTAACCTGTCGGTCATGACCTCCTTGGGAGTCACTGACAAAATGTCAGAAATTGTGGATAGGAGAGGGATTTGGTGGTTGTGTATTAAATTTGCCTATTCTCGTATTTTAAATTTCTTTTTAAAATTTAACAGTTGTTAACAGTGATCGGACCCGTTTCTTTTTTTGTGGGATTACATGCTGACTAAACTACAGCTACATAAAATAAAAATAAAATATGTCAGCAACTAATTTAATATAAATATTTTGGCAGTTTCTTTCATTTAAAAAAAAAACACTATATGAGATTTTAATTTTTTCTTTTTTTCACTTTATGTGGGTTTAATTAAAAGTTGTCAGCTTCCATGCAAAGGTATAGCAAGTTGTTATCAAACTTTTTCTGGAGGTTTGCTTACAGAGGCCCCCCTGCCCCCCCCCTCCCCCCAATCCTTCTTAGCTTAGTCTTTATTTCTGCTTCCCTCCACCACAATCAAAATTATATTACCAACAACTTTTATCTACAATTTTTTTTAAAAAAACCTGCCCCCCTCCCCCACCACCCCCAGACCTTAATTCTATCCTGATCATGTCATCATAATAGGTTTGTCTCATTTATCTTGGTAACAGGTGAATGGTTTGAAGCCAAGCCCTAGCAACAGTGTCAAGTTACTGCGGAAGCAGAACAAAATGCTGCGCTCAGAAATAACAAAGCTGAAAAGGTAGGCCTTGTTTAGATGTATTTTTCAACTCAATTACTTCAAATTTTTTTTAAAGAGTTATCTGGCCTACCTCCTTTTTTACAATTTTCCTGATTGGTTTAAAGGGATGGTCACATGATCATCTTGATTTGAATCATTTCATTGTGATTGTGAGACCTGTGTGTTTCATAAAATAAATGGAGATATTAAGTTAAAGAAATAAGAGCTGAGGCCTTGAGTGGAAGATAAGTAACCTGTTGTGGTGACGACTGCTCACAGGAAGTGTTTGTTGTTAAGTAGATCTGCCAGGAAAGTTAAAAACAATTGAACTGTAAATTACAGAGGAATTACACTGCTTTCTGTACCAGGAAAGGGCTTTAACATATTTATTTTGAATAGAATGAAAGACCAGGTCAACATGCATCTGCGAGATCAATATGCTGGCTTTTGCTGAAACAGATCATGCACAGATCAAATTGCAACACTAAGAATCATTGTAGGACAGTCCATCAAATGGAACTCCCCCCTATATATACATTTTATAGACTACGAAAAGGCCTTTGATAGTCTGGACCAAAAAACCTTGTGAAAACTTATTCGGCACTATGGAGTACCATGAAAACTAGTCGAGATCATTCAGAAATCTTATGAAGAAATGACTTGCAGGATGGTACACGAAGGTAGACACACAGATACCTTTAAAGTGGAAACAGGAGTTATACAAGGATGTCTCCTGTCCCCCTTGCTATTTATCCTCGCCATTGATTAGATAATGAAAAAATCCACAGACAAAAAGAGGAACGGGATACAGTGGACACTCTGGGAACAACTGAATGACTTAGACTTTGCAGACGACATTGAACTTCTGTCCCACAACCAGAACAAATGCAGGAAAAGACAAAAGACGTAGCCACCTTTTCAGCACAGCTCGGACTTAATGTAAATAAAAGCAATACAAAGATCATGAAGGTAAACTCAGCCAACCAATAACATATCTCTCTGGCAGGAAAGGCACTGAAAGAAGTGGAGTCCTTCACATACTTAGGCAGCACCATCGACATAAATAACTTAATGCAACCAGTGAAGTATCCCCTTGAAAATCATGCACAGTAACATCGCGAACCCCTCTGAAACATAGGAGCCAGAATGATCAATTCATTGAACGTGGGCCCTCAAAATAAAAAAAAGAAGAAGAAGGATCTGACGTGGATTTTAGGGCTAGAATTGGAAAATCTAGATCAGCATTTGTGGTATTAAAGAAATATGGGAGTCGAAGGAACTGAAGCTGCAAACTAAAGTCAGAATCCTTAACACAGTCCTAATGTATAGAGCAGAAATTTGGATAACAACGGCGAGCATTACGCAGAAAGTTCAGACCTTCATAAACACATGCCTTAGAAAGATCCTGAACATCAAATGGCCAAATACCATCACCAGCAAAGATCTACTAGAAAGAACTTACCAGGTGCTCATTTACAAAGACATCATATAGAATAGATGGAGGTGGATAGGACATACTCTCCGAAAACCTCCAGATAGCACCCCCCCTGACACTCCCTAACATGGCATCCACAGGGAAAAAGAAAGAGAGGAAAGCAAAAGAATACATGGAGACACGAGCTAGAGGCAGACACGCAA